AACCCTGGCCCCAACCACCCATCTTTCCATCTGCAGTTTAACGAGCACGGGTGGCCTTGGAGCTACAGTACGTTTCTGAGAGCTTGAAAATCTGCCGCAGGGTCTGTAAATCCATTCCTCATCTTAGAAACTGATAGATCCTTTTTTTTTTAAGTCAAATTCAATGTTTAAGAGTAACGATTTCTAAGTGAACATAGACTGGCTCAAATATATCAGCAGCTTTTATGGATCAGAGGCAAAAGCCTTAATTCAGACCCTAACGAACGCAAACATGTCTGTCCCCATCACAAAACAATGGCGTTTGTGGCAGTGCAAAAAAAACCTTCATAAGCGATGCCCAATGATTTATCCCAGGCCAGAGGCCAGCTGTGATGCTCCCCTGGCTCCCACAGGGATGTCCTCAGCCAGCAGGCAGGCATGTGGACAGCTTTATTGATGAGACCTCTGCAAACCAACCCTGAAACAACCCTTCCCTCCCTCTGAATCAAACACCCAGGAGCAGCATCCTCCACACCAGTTCGTGGGGAAGATGCCATCGCCCCACAGAGGAGCAGAGAGAAGAAGAGGAGATCCCGTGGGGCTCAGGCCAGCGTGTGGGAGCTCCTGGAGCAGAGACAGAGAAGAAGGGAAGGGGGACAGGGGGAATGACAGCCCTGTTTTCTGCTAGGGAAAGGAGTATTACAAGCACCAAAAGCTGACAGGCTCAGAAATAATGGTCTGAGCTCGCTCTTATTTAAAAACCGGCTGCCTGCTGTTTTCATCGCAAGCCCTGCTCTGACTTGCAGCAACATTTAAAATTAAATATACATAAGTGCTTTCAAAGAACTGTTAATTTGAAGGTCATTAAATGGCATAAAATACATTCCTTTTTTTTCTAGGAAGAGGCACGTAATAATGCTATTAATACATGCTCCTCTTCCACGTTCAAAAGCTTGCTCTCGCCTTGGATGTGCGGGTGGCTGAGTTCACCTTCACTTGCAGCGGCACGACATCTCATTTTAATTACTGCTATTGAGAAAGCTGCTGCCTCCTCCATCGCGCATAGCACAGACCGCCAGGGATGGGGTTGTATAAAAGATACGGCAAAGCCCGGGGGAAACAATGCAGTTGAATTACCAATGGCGATTTGGGGGGGGGGGGGGGAAGGAGGCGAGTAACACAGTGGGGCTGGCACCGGAGGATGCAGAAGGGAGGGGGCAATGTGAAGCCAACTGAAGGCAACACCCAGTCCAGACATGACTATCTTGTCCACTGATTCTCACACCAAGACCTTGGGCCAAGCTCAGAGCAGGGGTTTTGTGGCAAAAAGTCCCTTTTTTGATGTAACATTACATGCAAAAAAGACAAAGCCAACAGAGACACACACACACACACAAAAAAAAAGACACAAAAGGGCTCAGGTTTTTGCAGTTGCCATAGAAATGTAGCGAAGGAGCTGACAACTGCAAAGCACTTCTGTGAAAGGACAGGATCAGGGGTGAGCGTGAGGTGGGCTCACTTGAAGGCAGCCTAGGTGATCGGCCACATCCACGTGCTGCTGCTCAGCGCAGAAGTGGGATGTGGCCAGAGGAGCAAGGCACCGCAGCCGAGCTTCAGCTACAAGCAGTAGCCGGAGGCCAGGATCCACCCTGGCAGGGTGCACCAGCGAAGGGCACCTCCCAGCACTAGCACATGGCAGACGAACCCACCAGGACCCTGTGTGATAGATGAATCCCAGCCTGGAGAAAAGGTCTGTGGAGCTGGTTCGCTTTGATCAGAAATGCCACCTTCTTCCTTTTATTCTGTGCAAACCAAAACTTTGGGGGGGGGGAATAACTGAGCCATCCCTTCCCCTTTGGGATCAAAGAATGGGACTCTAGTGCCAACCACAGCACAGATCAGAAAGCGACGTGAAATGGGAGCTTTCATTTTTAGACCACACTTAGTTGTTTTCTTTCTCCTCTTTTTTTTTTTTTTTTTCCCCACTGGTTCTTTGCCCACATTTGGCAGAGCTCCTCCACGTTGGCAAAGCATCCAAGGGACCCAAATCTGCATCACTCCTCGGTCCACAAAGACATAGCAGTAGCTGTAAGGCAGAGCCTCCTGCCCCAGGTCCCACCGCTGCCTGCAGCTCCCGCCCCATCCCCGCACAAGGCAAAGCCAGAGCATCTCAAACGCTTCTCCATGACGTTGCTGATGGAGGAGACTTCCTAAGTGACCTGGACAGTGCAGTCAAACAGCTACGGCCAAGCACCTGGCAGTCTCCTGTTGATGCAGGGAAGTGAATGTTGGCAGCAAGCCTTGACTTAGCACCTCTTCGATGGTGCCCTGCACCTCCTACCCTGGTGAGAGCCTCCTCCTCGGCATTTGATGAAGGAAAAGAAGGGCCAGTCCAAAGACACACAACCCTACTGTCATGGTCAGGCAGGTATAATGCTGTCACTCCTGGACAGAAAGGCTTTGCGGTTTGGAAAACTTATTTTTCTTGGAAGAGTGAGCTCTAAAGAAACAAAATGGTCTGACAGAAGTCTTCTGAATTTTATGTTATTTTTTTCAATAAAAAGGAGTCGTAAAGGTGGAGTTTTGATATTTAGCCTGTGTCGCTGTCATTCGTTTTTTTTAAATGCCTTTAGCTTCCTTCTAATAAAAGAGAAATCATAAAAAAAACCCACAAAGGATCCTTCACCACCGGCGAATATCAATGTGGTGAGGCGGTGTATTAGTATGCACGGCGCCCACTCCATCTGCATGTTGTATTCGGTGTGACAACATCCTGGAATACAGATTTGGGCTGCGAGTATCCCGAGAGGTATTAGCGATCGTCTATCAGACAGGACGAGAAGCAGTCCCTGCTGTTGTAAACAAGGGGTGTTTTTCTCTGCCTCTTTCTCTGGGGGGAGTTCAGTGATTTGAAACAAGCTCATTCCTGCATCTTGTTAGTTCCTGTTCTTCAGCAGAGCAGCAGGTCATCTTCCTTAGACGATTAAAGAAATAAAATCGGAGGTGTAAAGAGCACCCCATCACCAGGGTCCTTCGTCTGCTGGTGGTGTCAGCTGCTATTCGCCTGAACGAAGCACGTGTTCCCCACAGGACACAGGGGGGTCCCCCCAGCCAGAGAGCACCCCGATGCCTCCAACATGGGGTACAATGCTCACACCCAGGACATGTGGACAGGTGCTGGCAGCAGGCAGAGGAAGGGCTTATCCACTTGTGTTCAGTGGCAGCAAGCAAATCTGGCGAGGCATCTCCATGGCACAGATGAACATTGGGCAATCCGACGGTGCAGATGGACATGGAGCAATCCCATGTGCAGATGGATGTGGGGCTTCCCCATGGCAAGGACGGACAAGGGGAAAACCCATAACACAGGTGGACATGAGGGATCCTCATGGCACTGATGAACACGGAGCATCCCCATAGCACAGACAGATGCGGGCACCCCCACGGGCACAGACACAAGACACCCCCATGGCGCAGCTGGATGTGGGGCATCACCGTGGCATAGGAGGATGCGGGACATCCTCACAACATGGACAGATGCAGGGCATCCCCACAGCGGGGACAGATGCATGAGGAGGACCGAGGGTTTCTCATATACATATGAGCCACCGCGCCACCAAATTACAGCAGGGACCGGCAGCCCTCAAGGCACAGCTGGGCAGCCCGCCCGTGCCGCTGCTCCCCCTGCCCCATGGGTGCTGCTTGCTGCCAGCACAGTGTCTGCAAGAGCGCAGTGATGGATCATCACAACTCACACACAACCGTCTAAGTAAAAGCCTTATTAAGAGTTCATTCATTTTATAAACTCTCAGCGCGATCCACAGAGGGACATTAGATTGCCCAGTCTTACAATATTCTGTGTAAACACTGACATGCGTCTAGTAATTTTAACTAGATCAATTTGCAAAGGAGACTAACAGTGGGGGAAAAAAAAAAATCAAATTAAACACAAGGAAACATTCACTGGGAGAGGCTTTAAGGAAGTGAGCTGAAAAACAGAGAGAAGGATGAACGTATGGACAAAGAGGTACATGAGACAAATGGACCTACCTCTGAAGCCATGAAACCTAAGTCTGTAATTCAATAACAAAATCCTTAGGTCCGCAAGAATGGGAAAAAAAGTCCTCCATAGCCATCTTCTGTGCATCGCTGAGGCTCTGGAGGCCTTAGCAGTCTGTTTCCCAGAGCAGCTCTCCTTCTCCAGCAGTCACTGACCCAGTCACAATCACACAGCGGCTCCTCCGGTCCCATCCCATTCCCACTGTGCCGGCTGGCCCTTGGCATCCTCCTCCCCGCTTGCAGGATGCTGAGTGCTTGCTTTGCTGTTGGGCTCTTCCCTGCTACCTCCCACTCCCGGGGGCTGTGGGCACAACCCCCGGCCCCCCCATGCTGGGAACTGGCCGGCCACTGGCCACAGGGTCAGTGGTGATCTTCGGTTACGGATAAGCAGTGAGTCCACGGTAGGTTGACAACGTACACACGCGCACGAGCGCACACACACACGGGAACACCTCTTTCCATTTTCCAAGATGGATTTTTTTTTTTTAATCCTTTTTTTTCCTTTTTGCAAAAAAAATGCAAGCAAAAGAGAAAAAAAAAAAACCCAAGGTTTTCTATTGAAGGTACATCTCTTCTTCAATATGAAGACATTAACTGGATTGAGTCGGATCCCCCATGCAGTGGTCAGCGAAGTCCTTTGGTAGTTGCCAGAGCGGTGCCCGGGTAGGACAGCAGGGAGCTGCAGAGACGTCTGAGGACACTTCCACCCTGGTCCATGAGCAGAGAGGGAAGCGGGGTAAGCAGGGAGGGCTGGGGCAGGGAGGGAGGGCAAAAGAAGAAAAGAAAAGGAAGGTGGTTTCTCTGGATGGGATACTCCATCTCGTGCCTCTCCCTTCCCCAACAGCCCCTTCCTCCTTCTCAGTTTCGACCACTGCTCACTGGTGGTGGGATTGGAGTCTGGTCTCTAGGGTTTGGGTTTGCTTCCCCAACGTACATTGGTTTGTCTTCATTGTTTTTTGTGGTTTTTTGTTTTGTTTTGTTTTTTAAATATATGATTTGTACATATTTATATGTATTTATATGCTGTTCCCCATGACATTGGTAAGTGTGCTTCTGTTGGTGAGGAACGGAAGTCACCAGTTAGAGATGAGTCCTAGGAACACCCTTCGTCTGCAGTCACAGTCCCCAGGCAGCGGTGGCACCCCTCCAAACGGTGCTCCACGGCGCCCGTCAGTTTCTCCCCTCCCACCTCTGCCCTTCCACTGCGTGCCCTCCCTGTCCCCTCCCTGTTGAACAAGGGACGTCATGCCATCGAGGTCGGAGACTGACTCATCTGTACTCGCATGGACTGGACGCTGTTCAGAATCTTCTTCTGGTGCCCAGCCAAAGTCACCCCTATTCTCAGGAGGTCTCTGGAAAATAGACAGATGGAGGAACATCAATAGGCAGCTGAGGGTTGGTGTATCTGTTTTGCTGTGTCTAAGTGAGGTGAGGGATGTAAGCTCAGCAGGTCCATGCCTGTCAGCAGAAGAACAGGCACAGAGCCCAAGCGCAGCCCCATAAGCATCACTGGGGATGGGGTGGGACCGAGAGCAGGGAGACACCCCCACACTGACCCCCAGATAGTGAACGCGGCCACCTCCAGACTCAGGGCGCTTCTGCTGACCGGTGTGATGGATGCTCACACCCTTCCTTTGCAGGTGCCTTGAACTGACCTTCCCACCTCCCTGCAACCCCAACCCACCCTGGGCAGCACCCAGCTTTCGGGCAGCCCTGGTGTGACACCCAACTCACTCGGACGTCATCTGGGCAACAAGCTGCAGGGAGGTGAAGCCAGCAGTCAGGAAGCTGTCCCGATACTGGCTCATCTTCACGGCACTCAGCCAGTCGTCTACTGAGGTAAAGGCAGTGAAGTCGGGGATGGAGCGGTCGAGGAGGGGCTGAGAAGGCCTGCAACAGGACATACTGCTGGGGACAAGCCCAGCTGGTGCACAGACATGCTCCCCAATCCACCCCGCTGTGCCCTTGTGCTCCCCCCAGCACTGCCCTGCTCCCGGCACATGCCTGAGACAAGGAAGGCCATGAGGAAGGCCCGTCCCATGGGAATACTGCTCTGCCAAGCAGAGCTTTGCAACCCCGCACATTGTAATCCAGTTGCGGGAGCCGCAGGGATGGAGGCACTGGCGGAGCAGACACTGCACCCATATGGTCACAGGCCATAAAGAATCAATAGCAAAGAATTATTGCTGTTGCTTGACTGAAAACTACATGTTCTTTGTCTGACTGTCAGGCAGAGCAAAGACAACCCCCCCTCCCCCCCTTCTGGCAAACGATTTATGAATTCCTCTCCTTTCCCCCAGCAGCATGAGACACTCAGGGAGCCTTTGGCTTGGGATGCTGACATGAGAGCATTCCCTGCACGCCGGGAGACTCACACAGCGGTGATGGTAGCCACAGTTTTGAGGCTTGCCGGGTTGCGGATCATTTTATCGAGGGTGTTGACTATCTCAGTGAAGCGCGGGCGGGTGTTGCGGTCCTTCTGCCAGCAGTCCAGCATCAGCTGGTGCAGGGCGGCAGGACAGTCCATGGGTGGCGGGAGCCGGTAATCCTGCTCGATGGCATTGATGACCTGCAGGGCAGCAGGGGAGAAAGCAGCATGTGAAGACAAGGACTCAGAGGTCTCAGATAGGTAAAACCGCAGCCACAGCAGAGGGTGAGCCACCCCTGCCACTCTGAGCCGAGCCAAGCTGCATGTGCGGGCAGAGGTGCTACAGGCAGTGCTGCCGCAGGCTGGGAAGGCAGCTGCCAGCCCGTTTGATCATCAGCAAAGGGAGCAGGAGGAGACGCTCCTGGCTCCGATGGAGCTGGGGCTCTCGGAGGTTAATCTCCGCTCTGATGCTCCGCGCGCTGCAGTTCCTCCCGGCAGAGAGCTGCCACTCATTATCTCGGCAGATCGCATCAGAGTACAGCAGTCCAACTACCAAAGCTCCTTCCCTGCTCGTAAACCCTCTGAACATTTTCAAAGGCCCTGCAGCTTGCTGAAGTCCAATTACCAGCCCACCGGCTTTTCTTCCCAATTTCCCTCCTTGCATCCTCTCGCTTGCCAGCCTGTTTCATCTCCAAAACCAAGCACTGCCGAGGCCACAGGAAGAAGCAGATAGCCGTTCAGGCAGGGCTTTCCTTTGGGAATGAGCCCCCCCCAGACTCCCCAGAGCTGTGTGGATGAACCGCAGTGCTTACATCTTGGTTAGACATGTCCCAGTAGGGCCTCTCCCCAAACGACATCACTTCCCACATGACGATGCCGTAGCTCCAGACGTCGCTGGCCGAGGTGAACTTGCGGTAGGCGATGGCCTCCGGCGCTGTCCACCTGACGGGGATCTTCCCCCCCTGTGGAGAAAGGGAGGAGCCCGGACACCCATGAGCCAGGTTCAGAGCCATCCCACACACCCCCAGCCACTGGTCCCCGGGGACCCTGCTGAGGAGTGGGCAGGTGGTACCCGATGGGACAAGGAGGCAGGAGCCAAAAACACCTCCATGAATTTACCTTGTACCTGCACAAAAGGGCTTAGCTAAACAAAACAAAAAGATTTATCCAAGGGTTTATCCCACTCAGGTGTCACCCCTGAGTGACACCTCCCCACTCCAGCTGCCCTGCAGGACCCGGCACATTAGTGGCCTGTCCCCAGGTCCCTTCCCAGGGAGACATCAGGTGACAAGGACTACACAGAACTGCGCTAGTGCTCATCTCAGGTAAGGAGCCACAGGCATCCCCATCCCCTGGCCTTCAGTGGAAAAAATGTCTAACCTAAGAGCATCCTCTACGGCATCAACTGGGCTCCCACAACTGCTGGAAGGTCCTTCCAGCCCCACTTTTGGATTGGGAGGCAAAAAGCAAAGCATATTTAAGCCCCAAAGGAGACTTGGAAAGCATTGGAATAGGAAAGTGCCTTTGGCAGAGCACTCCTCATTTCTCCTAAAAGCTCAAAATCAGGCTCGGCATCTCAAGCCACCCCATCAAGCCAGGGCAGGTCCCAGCTCCTGCCAGGAGAGGAAGGGCTGGAGGCCATGCCGAGCAGGCAGGGATGCTGTGGGGGGACAGCACGTACAGAGGGACTGCTACCTGGGCAAGCACTGCTGAAATAACAGCAAAAAAACCCAACGGATGAAGGAAAACCACAGACATGCACAGTATTTAGTCGGGGCAGAATTGCATTGTAAATCGTTTAGCGCAATTGTTTTCTGTAGTCTTTCCAATGAAGCGTCAGCTGCTCTTGAAGGATGAATGGCAAAAAATTTTATTTGAATAACTACAAATGGAGAAATTAACTGCTAGGTTGTTTTTCCTGCCTTTTCCCCAGAGCTAAAAACCTGCTGTGGGAGGCAGAGTGATGTAATCGCAGGCACAGCATCACTTCCCAGCTGCCGGGAGATCTATTATGGCCTAAATTAAATAAAAACACAGATGAGATAATCTCTTTTATCTCCAAAGGTGGGGAAAGGCTACTTCATGCCTCATCCCAGCAGCTACTGCTGGGGTATTTGAACAAAAAATAAATGATGGGTGTCTGCTCAAAGGCTGCTGCCTGCAGGACGGGTGTGTGCAGGGAGCGGAGCGGAGCAGGTCCATGATGGGGCACGGGTGAAACGTTATCACAAACAGGGGAGGAAGAGCGAGGGGCTGCAGCTGGGCCAAAACACAAAGTCAGCCTTAAAGGCATGTCCATGGGTTATCCATTTTGGAGGCTGGAGCCAGCCCCAGCGCCTGGGCACAGCTCAGCAGCCCAAGAAACTGCTTCTGCAGGAGTCAGTGCAGCCTTGTACTTCCACCCAGAGCATGCTCTTTTAATTAATTGATTAGATGAGGCCAACAGGTTGCTCATCCCCTTCTCCTCTGATCATCCTTACCACCACCAAGGGTCTCACAAGCTTGCTGGCAGGAGGACTGCCGTGGTGAGGAGCTGGGGGTCCCCCAGGGTGGCGGGGAGCAAGGGGAAAGCAGGGCTGCCGCTACCTACAAATGAATTAATTAAGGACAAGAAGGGTGGCTGGGGAACGGTGGAGCTCCCATTAGGCTTGTCTCTTTAATTAATGCCTGGAACAAGTCTCCAGCAGAGAAAGGCAGACCAGACGTGGAACGCTGGCGGAAGGGGAGTTAAAACACCATTGCTGTGCCATCGGGAGATGCTGTGATCTCTCTGCCTCCCCTTCCCATCACTCCAGGGACTCCTCCATGCACCTTCCCTCCACGGAGGAGAGGGAAGAGGCTTATCTGGAAACTGCTGAGAGCAGAAAGGTGCTTGGGGAAGGAGGGAGGCAGAAAACTCATAAAAGGGAGGAAGAGAAAGGAGGGAAAAGAGGATGATGAGTGGGAGCCACAGCCAGGGTCTCTGGGCCACGAGCCTACGTGGTGGGAACCCTCCTGAGATGCTCCCATCCATGGTAGAAGCTCTGGGGTGTACGTCCAGCACCATTCTCCCAGGTCCAGATGGTAGTGGGTGCAGGGCAGGCACTGGGGATGCTGGGCAAGACCAAATCTTGCAAGAGGTACGTACCAAGGAGCTGGTGTAGGTGGGGTCAGATGTATCATCCTGCAAGTAGCGTGAGAGGCCAAAGTCGGACACTTTGCACACCAGGTTGCTGTTGACCAGGATGTTCCTGGCAGCCAGATCTCGGTGCACATAATTCATCTCTGCAAGGTACTTCATCCCGGCAGCAATTCCTCTGAGCATCCCCACCAGCTGGATCACTGTGAACTGCCCATCGTTTTGCTGTGATCAGAAAGAGCAGGCACTGGGGTGAGCACGCAGACCCCACTGTGGGACCACAGCCACTCACCCCCAACCTTGGGAGGATGCTGTACCTCCCCAGAGGACCATCCAGCTGCCCTGCCCTGCCTGATTAAAGCAGAGGTACGCCAGCACCAAAATACATGTGTTTTGGGGGTGTACGGCACACTGCAACTAGCTCCCAAGCTAAGGAAACAGGCTGGGATTTACAGGACAGGATACCAACATCTCATTCCTGAATCCCACAGGTGAACAACAGCCCGCACAGCCCCACCTCGCTTTACCCGCAGGAACGAGTCCAGGGCCCCGTTCTCCATGAATTCTGTGATGATCATGACTGGTCGGCTTTTGGTCACCACCCCTTCTAGCCGAATGATGTTGGGGTGGTCAAACTGCCCCATGATGCTGGCCTCACTCAGGAAATCCCGGCGCTGCTTCTCGGAGTAGCCAGCTTTGAGCGTTTTGATGGCCACGTAGATCTCCCGCTTGCCAGGCAACTTCAGGCGTCCTTTATACACTTCTCCAAACTCCCCTGCAAGTGCAAGAGCATCCACTACCACCTCCTCCTCCACATAAAACACTGCAAACAGTAATGGTACCTTGAGCTGCTTGGTCTCCAAACCAACTGGCTGAGAAATGTCAGCCAGTTAACCCTTCAACGATGCTCTCTATAAATCTTACTCGCCTGTCCTCTTTAAAAGGGGCAATGTCTGCTGCTGAAGACATGTTTGGGCTTGCAACTTTCTCCAAGGTGACAGAGCCTAGCGCCAACAGAAGCAAGAGGCTGGGGCCACTCTTGCAAACCCCCGCAAGAAGGATTTGCAGAGCAAGAGCATCAACATTTAAGGACTACCTCAAATATAAGGTGTCGGCATTAGTAATCTCAGTTGCCTTTTTGCACATCACTTATCTTGGAACAGAAAATAATTGGGCTGTTTTCATTGCTGCCCTCTGATGTAAAATAAAGAGAAAGTGTCCTCTCATTTTCAGCAGGAGAGCTTTTCTGTCGCCAAGGCAAAATTTGCCTGTGGAGGGATTACATTTAAGCCAGGTTTGCAGCCACTTTGCCTTGATGAGCAGCAAAGGGTGGCTGATACATTCCTGAACTTGATCCTGACCAAACTAGCTCATTGCTTCTTTGCAGCTTCCCCCCAGCTTCTCACTTTCTCTTCTATGAGTACAACACTGTTATTTAAAAATGGCAATAAAAGCAGCACAGATGACATACAGATACGTGCACACATGTGTATATATACATATGTATGGGAATATGGCACAGACTAGAGCGAGATCTGTTTTTTCTTGTTATCTCACGGAAAAGCCAAGCAGGAAATCCCAAGAGGCCCTGCAGTCACCCAGTGATTATGCTCATGGAGTCTTTCCCACCTCAGAGGACTTTTGAGAGCAGAAGCCAACCTCATGTCCACCTTAACCCATCACAAACCCAGGAAAGCCTGAAGTTTCGAGGCTTCCATGAGGGTTTCCCAGTGAACAACCACATGTGCACCCCCAGAAAATTGCTCTGGGTGAAAACTGCGTCTGGCTACGCAGGAGCAGCAGAGAGGGCAGGGAAGGATGGGCGGCAGGGGACCGCGAGACCCACCTGCTCCAATGACTTCTTCAATCTTCACAAAGGATACATCAATCTCCTTGGCAAACTCTCGGACCGCCTCGTTGGGGTCCTCGTAAGTAAAGGGGTCGATGTAGATCTTCATCCCTGGAGACCCTTGTTGCAGGAAATATGCGAGCAACAGCAAAAGGGAGAGAAACCAAGAGCAGTTGTGCCATGGCCAAGAACTGGAGACCCCCATGTCCTCATGCCTTCCATACGTCCGTTAAGATGGCTATCGCTGTGCTTACCTGCGCCACCTCCATAGACCCTCATCGTCCTCTTTCGTCCCCCCGCTCCACCTGACCCTCCTCTGCATCCCCTCCTCTCACTCACTGCCCTCCACTCCTCCGCTGTTATCCTTCCTCTTCCTCCTCCCTGGTGATGGGGAGCAGTTACAGACATGAACTACAATTAGCTGGCTTTACGGTGAGGGCTTTATGAGGCTCCATGCATTAGTGAAGAAATATTTATTTACCCAAAAAGGCCTCTGATAGCTTTGTGGCGGCTACTAAACTGACAGAATGCAGCAATTATAATCAACAACCTATATGGAGCCATCAAATAAGGCTTGGCCAGCCTCCGTGACAAGTGGAGGGCACAGAGGCAATGAATGGCAGCAGGATCTGGCCACGCTGCAGGGAGATGCAGCAAGTGGGCTCTTGCCCTTTTCAAATGGGGGAAGAAACCAAAACAGGTCCCCAAATTCCCCAAATGGGGTTGGCAGACAATGTGTTTGGATGCCCTGCGGCTTGCAGAGCTGCCGGGGGGCACGGCTGAGGGGCAGAGTGTGGCCACTGCCATCCCCGGGCTCAGCAGGGCACCAGCGTTATGCCACAGTCCCCAAAGGGAACCCAGAACAAGCTGTTGTGCCCTGTGGGGGTTCAGCCTCCCATGCCATTTCTCACCCAAAAAGGGGACTTGGGATCACATAGCAGCCCCTCAAGGTCATCTCTGGAGGAGACCAGGAGGGACATCACTGCCTGGTCCTCCTCCCCGAGGTACCTCTCCTTTAGAGTGATTAATAGCGTTTGATTACACTGTTAAGGACCTCGCCAAGGGCCACAGTCCCATTGCACTGGCACTTCCCAGAGCCTTTCTAGAGCCGACGTGCAGACGAATGCACAGACCACAGCATCGCCTCTGCGCAGCTCCGCGCCGGGAATCTAAATTGGCTCCCAGTTGGTTTGCAAGTTTGCCGGCAAGTAATTTGGGAGGAGACGTGAAAGCCTCACAGGAGGGCACTGCTGGTGCAAAACAACCACTGAGGGAGAACTGCTTGCAGGGCACCCAGGACTCGGGAGGGACCAGGCAGGAGCATCCTCGTCCCCAAAAGGGGCGTTTGGGGCAAAAGCTCTGCACCTCGGAGGCGGGCAGGGAAGGCTGCGATGAAGCCATCTGTGCATCTCCCAGTTCATAAATCCCTTTACGGCTGTGTCTCATACACTTTAACTGCCCCATAAATTTTTTTACAAGAGCAGCTGATGCTCCAGCCAGGATTACAAAGGGATTTACAGGATCATAACCGAGGCTGACTCACTGATCAAAATATTGAAGAAATAAAGGAGACAATAATGCCGAAGCTTCCTGCCCACTGTCAACTCGGGCTTGTTTTCAAACACCCTCTGATGTGCCCCAGGGTCTGCCCATAGGCTCGCTAAACACCAGGTTCAGCTCCCCCCTAATCTTTATCCCATCTGAATGAGCGGGATTAGGGCACCTAAACCCATTACTCATTTCTGCAAACCTCAGCCACTGGCTAATCATCACCATGCTGGCAAAAGCTGGGCGAAATGCCAGGTACCGGAGTGCAGCATCAAAGGCAACCCGTGCTGAGCCTGCCTGCAAAGAGAGCTTTGTGCTCTTAAAATCGCCCCGATACTCCTAGAAACTGGATTAGGCCATTTATCACTACTGCAGATGATGGCAAATTTTTTATCACTCTTCGAAAGTTGAAGAGCTCTGCACCGTGACCCAGACTCCAGTGTTAGATTCTTTCCAACATCATTTTTCCTTGGGAATCAATATCAGAGAAAAACCTTTGCCTGCTGAATCGCCGCTGCTTCAACAGGACGCTTTCTCTGTCTCCGCTATCTCAAAGCTCCTGGTGAAGCAGCAGCAGAGATAAAGCATAAGAAATTACAACCTGAGAGACCCCATCACACCCCAAAACCCACCCCAGGCAGTCCTTGCCAGCAGCAGGCAGCCAGCAATCCCTGGGTGGCTCCTGGGAGGGACGGCAGAGTCCCACCAGGGAGGCTGTAATTGTCGTGACGCTAAACACACAGGTGATTTGTTCCGGCAGATGCACTTGTTACTCCATTAGTTGCTCACCACAAATTTCCCACCTGTTTTGCTCCAGCACCTGCAATAACCAAGCGCCTGGAGGCTTGCTAACCTTGAAAGGGTTTTGCTGCATGTCCAGGAGCCCTGGCACCCCTGGCTTTCGGACACTGATCCTCGCATTGCCCAGCTTTAAAACTAAACACAGACACCCGCTTCACTGCTTTCCTACCTGGTTTGAGCACCCTGGGTTTTGGGGTGCTTGGGGCGAGCTAGGGCTGCACATGGGGTGGGGATTGTTTCAAAACAGGGAGAAAATAGGAAAAAAAAGCCTACCTGCAGCCCAACACAAGTTTAGCCATCAGGCATCAAATACATCTTCCCCCACTACCCGCAGTACAGAAACACAAAGAAAAGAGGGAGGAAAAGCACAAGTCCATCGTATTTAAGTATCACCCGGTAGTGTTTGGAAAACAGTTTCTCGTTTGCTGGGAGGTTTACAGTCCCCCACAGCTCTGCCATCACATTGGGAGGGTTCAGTATGAAGCTGAGAAGGTCAAAAGAGATTTAGTGTGCTGTTGTCGGCTTGGCTGGACTCTCCTGGCTGCCTCCAAACCCTTTCCTTCGCTGTCAGCCCTCCTGTTTTCTCTGCCAGGCTGATCGCTCCATCTCCATCCGTCCTCTCCACTCGCCCATCCTGTTCCCCTCTTCCTCGGCTATCTTTCACTCAGCCCTACATCCCACTGCCATCCCTTTTCCCCAAGCAGGTGCTCAGGACCCAGGGATGGTTTCTTTGACAAGGCAGCAAAATGCACCTGGAAAGCATCTCTACAAGAGTGTAAATGGGATTTACGTCCCACAGGGATGGGGTACAGAGCCCACGGGCACCGGGTGGCAACTCCTCACCCCTTGGAGCTGCTGCTTTGCTGCTTTACTATTTCCAGCAATCCCAATAGCCTGTTGGGTGCTTTACTGGGAGCTGGAAGAGCACCAGAGCACATGTTATACACAATAGACACCTCAAATTTATTCTGGTGCGCAGCTCCACCAACTGCAAAGGTGTCTTAGGAAAAGGCCCTTCAACCTCAGGCTCTCCTAGTTGTTTGCCAAGAGGATCATCAGCCCAAAGCCAGTTAAACCTTCCCAGTCACTGGCTGCACATCCTTCCCAGAGCAGGGTGCAGGGCAAGCATCAGCCACATGGCCAGGACAGCAGCAATGCCGGTCACCAGCCCCCACTCCCCGGCCATGGGCCACACTCCCAAAATCCACAGTCCCTTTAGCAGTAAGAGCATCCCAGCACTGATCCTGGCCAGGGCAGAGCCTGTGGCAGGAGATCAGGAGCTCATCCCCCCTCCACACACTGTCTCTCTCCTTTCCTTCCTCCTTTGGGAGTCTTCACAGCATCCTCTCCTCATCCCCTGTCCCACTATATCCCCCCTGCCCCGTCCCCCTAAATCCATCCCCATCCCTCAAATCCTGCCTGTTGCTCCTCTTTTCCCACCCACAATGCTGCAGCACTGCAAAACCCCCACAGGCACCCTGACACTCAGCTGTGGACATCTCTACTCCCACCCTACAGTCCTCTCCATCTGCCCCATGGGGCTTTCATCCCCCCACCATGCACAGCTGAAGGTGGAGGAGGGCACACACTGGGTGCAGGTTTAGGAGTATTTTCCCTGCCCGCTTTTCCCCGCTCACCTCGCCCGGTGCTGTAGTGCTGTAATTTATCGCTGTACACCGCCTCCTTGCTGTAGGCGCGCTTCCTGGGAGAACAGGGGAGAAAACAGCCAGGCCTGAGGAACCAGTGGCTGGTGATGGCCCCGAACCACTCCCCTGCCAGCAACACTTGGCAAGCGGTGGCAGCTCGGTGCTCTCTCCAGCTACGGGAGTCCCCGATCCCTCCCCTCCTAACCCAAATCTCTCACACCTATGTCTCACCACCTCCACCTTCCAGGGACACAGCATCCCACAGGGACCCACCTGCTGCAGACAATAGAAATGGCCACCAGCGAGACGATGAAGACCACCCCGGCTGCTGCGGACCCCGCGATCAAAGGCAGCTGTTCTCTCAGCTCCGACTTGTAGTCATCTGCAAGAGAAGAAGGATGGGGTGAATTCTCCCTTGCACATTCATGGAGTAAGAGCAGCCTCCTGGGAAGGGGTCCCGTAACACCCTCTCTGACTCTATGAGTGCTGCTCCCATGCGAGGGTGGTGGGACAAGGGGGATCCAGGCAGGTGATGAGCCAGTGCTGCGTTGCACAAGACATGATTGTCATGCTTGGCTCATGTGTTTTAGGTTAAAAATATAGAAGAGAAGATCCTGGGAATCAAGTCAAACCAACAGTGTGTGGGCCTAGTTTCCCAAAGAGATGAGGTTTAAAAGGTGGCTTTGTCCATGTCTCTGGGGTTTCTCTTCCTTCAATAAATTAAAACCTGTTGGTTGTTTCGGCCAAATTTAACACACGGTATCACAGATACAAAGTTCCTACACACTCCAGGAAAGGAAGGAGAGAAGAGACCCTGTTAATAACCAAGCCAGCTGGGGAAGGCTGCATCAGGAGTTCACCAATATTAGATACCAGAGAGTCCACCATGCAACAGTTAACCTTGAGAGAGGCGCCCCGAACCCGAGCACCTTCACTGCAGGTCTGCTTGTAGGTTTTTAAATCTCCACAGGTGGCATAAGCCAACTCCTTTTGCAGAGCCACAGCAACCACAGCACCCCTTCCACACTGAGCATCCCTCAAACCCCCTTGCGTCCCCTTGGCCACCCCCTGCATCCTTCAGCAGCAGGCTGGGGTGAAAGCCGAGGTGGCACAGTGAGGACTGGACATGCCTGGAGGAATCCCAAGAAAGCCACTTGCAACGTCCATGTGTCTTCCCCCATTTTCCCCTTCTCCTGCCTTGCCCCATTAGCAGTGTGGGTACCCGCAGTGGGCAGTATCCAGGAGACCCGACACTCCTGGGGGCTTCTGCAGCCCCCCAGAAACACCCCCCTCTCCAACTGTCATCAGTATGTTCTGCCAGGCTGGGCCAGCAGCCGCAAGCAAGGGTTAAAATAAAATTCACTCAGAAAGCATTTAGCACCCTTTTATCTCTATTTTCTACTCTGCTGTTAATTACTTGCAACTAGATTTATCTCTTGCATGCCGCTTAAATCCTGAGAAATTCTCATCTAACAATCAATTATTATTTAATAATCTACACTATCCATTCTTATTAAATTTCAATTAATTGCTTATTTGAGGCAGGATTTTTCTTCTCACTTCTCTAATTCTGAATATTCGAGGCATTGGGGGGGTTTATTACCATTTCCTTCCCTTGGTCACCCCGCATGGTTTTCCTCTTCCTGCCCTGGCTGGTATTCAACACGAGTGCAAGCACAGGGAGGCCCAGATTTAGGAGAGAAGGGAAGTTTTAGGAAAGACAGCCAGTGGGGCTGGGACCCATGGGTGTCACGTGACCGGAGCAGAAATCGTGCTGGCAGAGGCAAGAAAGGGGGTCCTTGCAGGGACTTCAGCTCCCCCAGTGTCTGAAGGGGTAGGAGGATCACAAAAGGAGCCTTGCTTCATTCACCAACTTCTGGATTTGTCCCAAAACTGGGATTAATGAAAAACCCTCCCATGAGTTATTCTCTAAAGGGTTCTCGTGTTTGTGAGCACAGGGAAAGGCTGGGGCCAGAAGAACGACAGCACAACTCTGTCAAGGAGGCCAGAAGAAGCTGTGAAGGTCATGAGCTGGCCCCTTTGACACACCACCTCAGGGTGGGAAATCAGCTTTCGGTGATGAGTGTGACCCTTCCTGCTTTGCCCTGATAGCTCAGATGCAGCTCTGACCATCCCAGGAGAACATCCCTGGAGAGCATCCCAGAAGTTCTTCCTCCAGGGATCCACACCCCCCCACTCCTCCCCACCCTGCTGTGCCAGACTCACAGCCAATGGCAGGGGGGCTCTACCACCACGGTCAGAGGCAGGAAAGACAAAACCACAGCTTAAATAGCAGGGGAGAAAACAGAGCTAAGAGATTTAAAGCAGATTACTCCTCCAGCTGGCGATTAATAAGACACTGCTGTAAATCACCTGGCTTTTGCCACACTGCCCGCTGGGAGAAAGGTTTGTGGAGATATATTCGTTTAATCCAATTAGAGCCTGAAGCTGTCACTCGAAGCTGTCACCACCCCCTTCGCCTCCCTGACTCCCCAACCTGGACTCACCATCCGTCAGCGTCTGGAAGCACATTTTCCCGCTGTACTTGCCGTAGCCGGCCACGGTGCGGGCTCGCACCTGTACCACGTACACCATGCCGGGTCGCAGCCCCTCGATCCTGGCCGTGTTGGTCTGGCTGCGGGCCATGGAGGAGTTGTACTCGTTGTGGTCCTGCGGGCACGGTCAAGAGAGACGGTCAGCAGGGACGGGCACAGGGGACAGCAAGGGGGATGATCTGCCCTGCAGCCCACCCATCCCCATTGATGGCAGGGAAGAGGTTTATGTGCAGGGGGATAAAGCAGTGGCCCTGGTTCTGCTCCAGAAGGACAAGTGCTGGAGCCTGGGCAAGGTGGCTCGGACACTCCTGGTTGCCCTCAACCCCTGACATGGAAGATCCCCCAGGAAGAGGACCCATGAGCTCTGTCTGGCCTCCAAGGAGCTGGGAAGGTCCCCACAGCATGTGCCTCCCAGGCAGCCCCCCTGGTCCCACCGTAGCAAAGAGCATGGAGCAGCAGGGGGAAACAGTAAGAGCATCCAGAGCAAAAACACTCATGTGCAGCAAATCCCTCCTCTTTGAACCACTGATGTCCCTGCACATTTCAGAAGTGTCATGCAGTTATGGAAACACCATAACATGCCCTATGAGATCCTACTCAAACAGGTTCAACAGCACCTTGCCTCTACTGAGAGCCCCAGCACCTATGGTCCCTGCTCTGCTGGCAGGAGTTCTGCCAAACCTTGGTGGAAACCTCATGCATCTCAAATCTCATTTTTTGCAATACTCCACAGTGGTTTACTGTAAAGGGCCTGCTGGTGAGATCATCTAATTTTTCACATTAGAGGAATTCATTAAAGCTGGCAAGATGCAGGAGGGATGGAACAGCTTGGGCTCGGCACGGTTCACCGCAAGGGTCGAGAGCGTGTCCCCTGTGGGGAAGGATGGCTGCCAGTCAAAGGACCCAGCAGGAGACAGTGACGTGGGAGAGGGACAACCCTGATAACCTTCGCTGGTCCTCACCGTCCCTGTCCTTTCCTCCTGACACTGTGCCCATGCTCCGGGTCCCTGTTTACCCTAGCAGATACCAGAGCCAAGGCAGCAACGGGCACTGATGTGCTGGAGAAAATGCTGCCACAGGGGAGGAATTAGAATTTGTAGCCACAACATCGCTCCCCTTCCTCTGGTTGCACATTGCTCCCACCCTCCAGAGCCAGCACAGGCGACCAGGCACCTGTCCCACAGCCTGTCCCACCACCTGGACCTTCCCAACAAAGAGCCTGACTCAAAGCTTGTTGATGTTCCCCCTCTCCCAGCAAGTTCAGGACCTGAGCAGCCTCCTGGCAGTGCCGTATGAAACTTCACGTGCCCCCATCCCACCCTCCGTCGCAAGGTTTTTACCCAAGCTTACCGCTGCCGGCCTGGAGCCCACGGTGCTGCTGACATCAGGCGTGCAGATACGGCTGACCTTCTCATAGTAGCGGATCTCATAGTCCAGGATGATGCCGTTGGGCTGCTCGGGCTGAGGCCAGGAGAGTGTGATGCTCCTCATTGTGGCACTCACCTGGTGCATGATGGGGACAGTGGAGGGTGCTGCCGAGGAAGCAGGGAGGGAGGGAAAATCAATGGAAAGCGGTAGGATCGATGGCCCTAGGGAGGAGGAAAACCTCCTGGGCATATGGAGCATCCTGAATCTCCCAAGCCTGCAGTGGTTCACCCCATGGGACAAGCTCCCGCATTAGCAGTGGGAAGAGCGGCATCTCAGCAGCTTACATGGAGACAGAGCAGCAAGCCGGCGAGGGAATTCTAGTATTTAAACCAATTACACTTTTTAATTAGGGGCTTAGAAATCTTCAGTGTTCCTTCTCCCTGGGATTGCTTGCTCCAAGGATGTCTCCCACGGCAGGGCAAAGACGGCAAAGCTCTCCCCAGCAGGGACAAACCAAGGCTCAATGATGGTCTCCAGCTCTGCTTGCCATCTTTTGCTGTAACTACTTCTCTGGGGGAGCCAGGACCCAGCACTGCGGGAGCCTGTGCCATGGCTGCGACCCCATCTGCTGTCAGTAATAGGATGTAGGAGCAAAAATCTGCCCACCCTGAGGACGATGACAGGAAACCAGGGCAGGGACACCCCAGGCCAGCAAGGGGACCCCAGGGTCCTGGAGCCTGTAGCACAGCTTTGGCTCAGCCCTGTCCCAGAGGAGCTGCTGGGTCCACTCTTAGGGGCTATCAGGGTATGCTTATCCTCAGTGCCCAAACATGCTTCTCCCAGGAGTTTTATTTCCAAAGCTCAAACACCTGCAGAGTAGTCTCAAACCCTCCTTCAACTCTTTGCCTGCCCTGGGGCCATAGCGCAAGGGTGCTCAAAAGGCAGCATCTCCAGCCCTGCAGCCCCCCAAGACCTCCCAGGCAGCAAACCACAGGGGTCTCGGGCATCTTGTTGCAGCACCCCTGGAGAAAGCAAGATGCTTGGCCCTGGCCAAGCATGCAGTTGGCATCAGGTGCAAGCCCAGCGTGGTTCGTCTGACCCCCTTCCCTCTGTGCCATGCATTTCTAATCAGTTCCGCCAGCTATGTAACGCACCACATTGCTCTACAAAGCGCCCCATCGTATTTCAGTTCATGCACCACACAAGCTAGGTGAGCAGGTTTCCTAAAATAGCTGCCAGGCACATTGTCCTCACTGCTGCTGCTCCCTGCCCCACTCTCTGCATGCACTGGAGCAAACCCAGGGCTGCTCTGTGCCTGCCAGGGAGCTGAGCATCCCTGGAGCCAAGCATCCCCAGAGCTGAGCAGCCCTGGAGCTGAGCACCCCCAGAGTCAAGTATCCATGGAGCTGAGCATCCCAGAGCCGAGCATCACTGGAGCCAAGCATCCCCAGAGCTGAGCAGCCCTGGAGCTGAGCACCCCCAGAGTCAAGTATCCATGGAGCTGAGCATCCCAGAGCCGAGCATCACTGGAGCCAGGCATCTCCAGCAGCAGCAACACCGCCCTTCCACCATCAAGGACACTGAGCCTCTAGATTAGCCAGGAGTCACTTTTCCAAAGGCTTTTTGCCCTCTAAGTTATACTTGAAAGGGCCAGAGCCAGCCAATACTGCCCTGATCCTGCACTTAATCCTACTAAAAGCCTCCATGAAAGGTACCCAAGTCTCTCTGCACCCAAAGCGGCACTGGCATGACCTGCTCGCAGGGTCAGCTCCCTATCCAGCCTTCTCTGCCCTCCTCCTCCTCCTCGCTGCGCCCAGAGTGCAGGCAGCGCTGGGCAGGGAAGATGCCTCCTCCGCATGGGTCTGGGGCAGAGCTGAGCTTGGCAGGACCAGCGTGGGGCACAAGATTGTGCTGCAGAGGCCATCTTGGGGCAGCAGGAGCCCCGCTCCATGCGGCCGCACTGGGAGATGTCGATAGTTTGGCACCGCCTTTGTTTACCTGGCATATTTAATCCTGTATTTTTTTTTAATCTCTCCACATCCGCTCCAAGAAGATGCTTGTGGGCTGAAATTAAACACTTAGCTTGATTGCTGTTTTGTTAATTGCTGCGTTCCCCACCCCGTTAGCGCAGATAGCGGCATGCAGGCGGATGGGGCTGGGAGCAGCCCTGCGGGGTGAGATGCACCAAGCAGCCCAGATCCAGCCCTGTGTGGGGGAAGCGGGTGGAAAAACCCGCTGCAAAACCAAAGGGATTTTAGAGGGACAGCACCAATCCTGCCCTTGACACACCTGATGCGTTTCCATCAGGTTACCCTGCAGCCCATACTGTGGCACTGGGAGCACTTCCACGTTAATATTCAGCCTTTGCAAGACAAACAGGGAGCACTGGGGTACGGACAGATGGCCGTGGGTGCCCTGGCTGTTCCCAGCTTGCAGGCAGCCCCAGGGTGGGAGATGAGCAAAGAAACACCCCAAAAATCCCAGCCCCCAAAAAAAAGGCCTGGAAACAAGAGGCAAGTTTGATTGCACATGGTTCAAGAGACAGCAATGCCAGCCAGGCACAAGCATACATTTGTATTCCCTGGAGCCAGGAGACTAAAATATTTACAACAGGTTTCTCTGTCGTGCTCTCCCAAGGGAGCGGGCTGGCGAAGGCTGCCTGCATTACACACTGGGCACAAAGCAGAAATTACCATCCCCTTTCTCTGCCCAAAGCAGATCGGTTTCCATCCCCTCTGCTCCCTGTGCTCTTCATTGCAGCCCAGGACCAGGTGCCCCCTTGCCATCTGCACACCCACTCTGCCGGCATCCTGGCTTGGCCCAGAGCTGCTTGTTCAGTTCCTGATGCCTGATCGGGAACAGGGAGGGAAAGGGGCAGGGGAGCCTGGAAAAGGGGACAAGAGGAAAATGATGGGAGAGGGATGTGCCAGAGGAGACAGAGCCTGAACTCAGCCCTGGGATGCTGCTCCCTCCATGCTGTAATGCAGCCAGGCTGCATTTCAAGGCTGGATTCACCCCATCTCCCTGCTCCCACCTGGGAGAAGGGGGGAAATAGCGATACCATTTCATCCCCAAGCAATCTAGAAGGGGATAAAAAGCAGGTATTGGTCCTCATCCCCTTCCCTCCCACAACCCAGCTCTCGCTTTGCCCAGGGTGTAGGCACATCCTCCACCTCCCCCATTCCTCTCCCTCTCTCTTTTCCTGGCCTTTCTCCCCACTTGCCACCTTCCCCCTAGCCCACCCAGGGCTGGGTGCAGGTTTAGCACAGCCATCACACACCACTTACACCCTGGGAGCTTTTTCTTTTGGACGTGGAGCTTCCTTCCACACACAGCTTGCAGCTAGTAGGGTACAGCTAAAAAACCCCGGCACTGCATCATCTCAGAACTCACCGGCTTGGTTGGTGGTGATGTTGACGGAGACATGCTGTGGTGGGAAGGGGCTCTTGTTGGAAACCCCATTGACAGCCTGGATTTCAAAGGTGTAGGGCGTGTGTGCCCACAGGTTGCTGATGAAGACCCGGGTCTCTGTCAGCCCCAGCTGCCTGGGGACAAAGTCCACATTGTCATCACAGCGGGAGCAGGTGCGTCGGTCTGACCGGCACTTCTTGCAGACGATGTTGTAGGTGACATCATCCCGACCCCCCGTCTCTCGTGGCGGGTGCCACTCCAGGATGATGGACGTCTCATTGACAATGGAGATGACATTACGGGGTCCGGAAGGGACACCTGCAGGAAAGGAGAGTACCTGAGATGGGTCCTTGCCCGAAACGTCATGCTCAGCTCTACTGGGGGCTCCGGCACGGAGAAGGACACCCCGCAACTCTGTCTGTTGGTCTACCCATCACCTCCTCTCTTGGGAGGGATTTGGTCTCCATGGCTTTGCCTAATTCAGGGTCAGGCTCTCCCTATCAGCAATGCCGGCCCCCATCTCCGACCTCCCACACAGAGGGGTTTCACAGTTGGGGATGAGGACTCCCATGCCACAAACCCACTTAGACTCCAAAAAAAGCCTCATGCAGAGTGCACGCAGATCTATCTGCCAAGACCGATCCACTTTAATGATCAGGAGATGCCAAGATAGCTCCAGTGCTTGTGTGGAGAAGTACCTCAAACAGATTATCACATCAAGAGAAATGCCACTTAGCCAGCACCGCCCAGAAACAGAGGAGCAGTGGGTGAAAAGAGAGTCCAAAATGGGAAGTGGTTATTAACAGTTCAATATCTCACGTTGGGAGCCTGGGTATTTAACAGCATGGAGGAGAGCCGGCACTGCTCACTGGTTTGTAAGCAGCTTGGATGTTGGATGAGAGATCAAAATTGCATTGATCAAATCCACTGGGAGCCATCGCAAATGCTTCGGAGGACAGGAACTGAACGCAGCTCCGATTGCAAGCGCTGCCAGAACGGGGCCAGCGTCCATAGGGAGTGATTCAGGAGGAATCCAGGTGGGACAGCATCATCGAGGTACAAACATATGTCTGCCCAGGTCTGGGGAAGGATTTAGGGTTAGCTGGAATGGCTCTGCAGCCAAAACCAAAAAATCCAGCTGCTGGGTTATATTAAATAAGGAAAGTGATTAATTACTTGTGCTGGCTGGGCTCGGTGCTGCACTTCCGAGGAAGAAAAAGGACTTTGCCATGATGTGGGGAGCAATAAAAATGATGGAGGACTTGACCTGCGAGAAAAGGTTAAGAGAGCGAAGCACGCTTTGTCTTGGGGAAAACCATCCCAGGGGAGCCCTCCACATGTGTGTGCTGGGGAACATTGTTAGCAGCTGCAGATAAATTAGCCCCATTAGTGGCTGAGGATGGGATGGGCAGAGGCGGCTTCATCTGCACGGGGGTGACATGGCTGGTGGGATGGAGAGGTTGTTCTGCATGGAGGACCTCTGGCTGACACCCTGCTCCAGCCACTGCTGCCAGCCAGCCCAGGGGGGCTGTGGGTGGCCATTCCTGCCCAGGTCCCTGCCTGCGCTGCCATCTCCCCCCGCTCTCTTAATCGCGCCCAGGCAGGCACCGTGGGAGCCTTTCTGAGCCATTGCCACAGATACTGCGGATAAAAGTGTTGTGTTAAAATGCCTAGAGAAATGACAGCCTTAAAAAAAAAATTAAAATAAAAAAATTCCCTTCCCTTTAATTCTTTTCCCCTTTAGCAGAGCAAACATGCATGTTGGGGAGCAGTTGTCAGTGCAGTGTCCTTGCTGGAAAGCGCTTGCATGGACTTGAGGCTTCCCCAAAATTCCAGTAGCACACAGAGGAGATGTCAAAGGAGGTTTATGGGCAGATGGGTAGGGGACACATCAGGGGCAGGAGCAGGTGTAAGGACACCAATTCCCTGGGGGGAGCCAGACTGGAGGACTCACAAAGGCTGGGGACAAGGATCAGTAAATAGCAAGTTACCCCCAAAAAGCTGCAACCTGTCACAGGAACCTTAATCCCATCCCCCTCTTCATACCTTAAGCAGACAGCATCTTTTCAAGCTTTTTTTCAAGAAAAAGGGAGAAAACCATCTCTCTTCCCCAGCCCAGCAGCAAACCAGTGTCCCCCCGAATTCCTCCCCCTTTAATTGCAGCCCCTTCCCTCCTCTGCTAGGGGTACAGGGCAGGAAGCACACTTGCAGGCATCGCTGTCGGGAAGGGCTCTGGTCCAGGGCAGCACCTGCAGCTCCACGATAATATTTACCCCTCTAACATAGAGAAACTTTGTCAGCAAAAAGCTGGCACCTCAAATTAGAGCGCTGTAAAATTAAGCATTGATGAGAAGAAATAAAAATCAGCAAATAGACTTTTTTATACTGTATTCCTATAGTGCAGCAATACTGTAAATCAGCTACATAAAGAGACATAATAAAGATATATAGATTATCTGTGGTTGTGCTACCTGCTGACTACCTTCAGTCTGACAGCTCAAGTGATCCAGCAAAACATGCAAATCCTTTCCTCATTTCCGACAAGGCACTCCCCAGCACCAAGGGTCAGGAGCATCCTCGTGCTAAAGCTCCCTGATGGGCTGATTCAAGGGCCTGGAGCATATTTGGGGGGGGGAAGGGGGGGCAGGGCAGATGAGTCTGAGACTCATGTTCCCAGCAGGCTGAAGAGCACAGCAGCTTGCTCTTCTCTCCTGGGCTCTTTTCTCACCAAAAGACAGGCTTGAGGCCACTGCTGCCATCCCAGGCGGCTCAAGCAGACAGCCGAGCAGTGATGCATCACACGCAACGCCGTGCTGAATACCAATGCTTAGCGCACCTTTTCTCCCTATAAAAAAATACTCCATCTGCAAGACTATGAACAAGACAGCAACAACAGATAACTTTAAATTCTAATTTATCCTGAGGACTATCTCCCTGCCATCACCACCACTGCCAGGGTGAAGTATAAATTCAAATGACTGCCAGAGAGGCAGGCTGTGGGGCCACCCCATCGCTCATTGTTTGGTGCGTGCCACGGCAGTGTCCCAGGAAAACAGAGCAAAGGGTGATGCAACATCATCTGCTTATGCCGGTACAACAGTGAAGGGATTCGTGCCAGCACGAGGAGCACATGAGGCAGTGCCATGTCGTGTGAAGAGGGATGGATATCCCCAGCCCTCCGCAAAGCTGAACCTTTGTGGTGGGTTGACTTCGGCTGGCTGCCAGATGCCCACCCAGCCACTCTCTTGCTCCCTTCCGCAGCCGGACGGGAGGGAGAAAATAAGATGAAAACTCTTGTGGGTTGAAACTTTCTCCCTGCCTCTGCCCCAGCAGCAGAGAGGAGTGAGACCCTGCAGCCTCCCCGCCAACCCTGATCTGTTGTTACTCACTGGTGCAGGCAGCTGCCGGTGGGTCGAAATCTGCCCGGTAGTAGCCATTGCGGCACGTGCAGACTGGTGAGGCCTCAGCGGTGGAGCGGCTGTTGGAGGGGCATGGTGTGCAGACCCCCGCACCCTGGCTGGCCTTGAACGTCCCTGCTGGGCAGGCTGCAAGAGAAAGGAGAGGAAAGTGGTTGGATGCCGAACCATCCCGGGAGGGAGGCAAAAGCAGGTCCTGTCCTTGAGACATGGCAGAAAGAAAAAGAAAAGAAAGAAATAAAAGAAAAAAGTCACAGAAAAGTTGCACATCTGCATCAGAGCTAAATGGGGTAGCACCTTCCTATGAAGCTACGATGGCCAAAATTTTCCATGCTGGCCATTAGTTATTTCTAGAGCCACCAGGAAAGCACTGAAATCACACAGCAATGGTACAAAAATTAGCCAGGCAGAGCAAGGGGGCTGCAGTAGCTCCTTTGCTGCCCACTGCTCATACCCAGGCAGGGGGACAGTGGGGGGCTGCGGGACCCCCTTCCCCGGCAGCTCCCATGGGGATGGGGACACAAACATGCAGGGGCAGGACAGCGTTCCCCTTCTGCTGACCCAAAACGTCCCTTTCCAGCACCCCAATGGCATGGCTCAGGTCTTGCATCTCTTTTTCCATGCAAAACTTGAATACTTAATTAAAAAGTTGATGTGACACCCATAACAGTGTCTTACAGGTCCATCCCATTAATCCCCTGCAGACTGGGGCTAATAACCTTTCCAGCCTTCAGCCTCCGAGTTCATTCAAGCAGGAAATGGTAACTAATTCATAAGCGAGAAGATGCTCCAGTTACAGTGAGGCTTTAATCAGTGACAGGGGGAGATTTCATTAATCAACCGTCTCGCTGCTCTGCGGTTAGACGATAAAGATGGAGTGACAAAGGTGGGGTCCCTCGTCCCTGCCCCACCCCACCAGTCCTCACCAACTAGGCGCTGATGAACATATGCTCATCCATCCTTGACATCAAACAAAACCCTTGGGTGACCCCTACAAAACTTAAGGCTGCAGAAGGTAATATCTGTATTTTGGCACATGTACTCGAGGGACCAGACCTCCAGGTCCACCTCCCAGCTGGGGGGAGATAGTTCATGGCCTCGCACATGCAGTGGTCCCACCTCCGTTTGGCTACCAGCTCTGCCCCTGCGATGCTGTTCACCTCCAAGGCATGGCTCTGCAGAGAAACACCCTAAGTGTCTCATAAACACGGCGATGATTGAGATAATGGAAAGTGCCTCTTAGCCCCTGTCTGCTGCATCAGGATATGAGGCATCTCCTAGCAGCCATGAAGAGGAAATTAATAGGAGCAAGCAGGAGTAACCACTTTGATGCAATTTCCTTGGGAGATAGTGGACCATCTAATCTTTATTGGAGCCCTTTAACCTGTCATTCAAAACTCATGAAGGCCTCTTGCTCACACAGTCTTTCCAGATATTAAAAGATGATAAAAAAGGATAAATCAAAACAATATTTTACAATTTTATTATTCAGGGGATTTTTTCCCCCGCCTGAGGCACACAACTGGCTGCAATGAACTGTCTCTTTCCAACAGCACTAACAGCTGAGTGGGGACGTGACATCCCAGAGGGACCAACCACCATCTCAAACTGCCCTTCCTCCTGCCCACCACAGGAGGACTGCCCAAGTCCTCCACATCCTACCGCAGCCATCCCACACATATGGCCTCTTAGGGAAACACTTAGGGCCATAACCCACCACCTCATGCAGACAGGCAGCTAGACACACGGGTTCACCATGCACTGCAGGACACTGGGTGGGCACATGAGGGCTTGAGGGGAAACTTCAGGATGCCAGAGCAGAAGGCAGCCGGATGCAGACCCTTTCCTGAGCCATGCACACAGCCCTATGCCCTGTAACAGCACGAGGAAGCACGCGGTTACACCAGACACACAAGGCAGGAGACACGACCACGTGTGGACACCAGACTTCGAGGTGGATCTCCATTTCTTCACCTCTCCCTTCCCATCAGCACCTCCCCGCAATGTCTCAGCAGCATTGCGCTCCCACCAGCAAGCTTTAGAATCCATGAGATGTGCAATGGGTGACTTGTGGGCTCTAGAGCTGGAGGACATGTTGAGAAAAGTGCCTGAAACAGGCTGGGCTCTTTGGAGGAGCAGGAAAGAGAGGGCAGTGGTACCAGGGAACAGCCACCTGTATTTTGATGGAAGGGGACGGGAGAGGGAGGAAGGAAGACGAGAGGGTCACAGCACTATGAACACGCCTCGGTTTAAAGCATAGGGGCACGTTGGTGGGTCGGTTGAAGGGGTTTGTGAATTTTTAATTACAATTAATCCAAGTGATGCTTTGTCAAAATACCTGAACAAAGTACACTCCGCAACCCAGTGTCCTCAGGTTTCTCTCATCACTTTGCTTATCCGCAAATTCCTGTAATCTGCAGGCACGTGGGTCTTAATTGTTATTATTACCAATTAGCTTTTCTCTCCTGTGATTACACTGTGCTTGTCTAAAGTCTCCTGCAGTTTCAGGGGAGGCTAATGCCTTCTCCTTCCTCCCAAAGGAGCAGCCCTCTGCTCTCACTGTTGCATGTGTCTCTCCTCTTTCTGAGGGAGCTGAACCATGAACCTCACACTGAAGATGAAGCCGAAACCCCCAAACCCCTGCAATGCCACAGTGGGATCTATAGAGACCTGCGCAGCGTGGGATCCATAACCCTTCAGATGGTAAACACGCAGTCCGAGTGCAAGGCTTGGGTAGAGGGCTCGAGCCCAGGAGGGAGCAATAAATCACCCCACTAATGGGAAGCGCAATATTTGCCTTGATTTAAGGGCTGCTGCAAGAAAGTTTCCCAGAGCTGGGAAGGTCTGGATCCACAATAGCACCTCGGACAAGTGCGGGGTGAGGCTCTGCCTCATCTTTCCCTGGGGAAATGGGCTCCTTCTGCCGGTGCCCAGGCTGTGGCGCAATCTGCATCTCTTCAGCCCGGAGAAGAATTAATTGATTGTTGATTATGTGGGCTGGATAAGATTAATGATGTGCTTAACTACCCATTTCCTCACGTTTAAGCACTAGGAGTGTGTTTGTAAATGATGAGGCACGAAACCCGGCCGTGCTGCTCAGCAGCTTCAGCGCTTGCCAGGGCTGCCTGCTCAGCACTTAAACCCACCCCCATAACCCAAAGCTGCCTGCGGATCGGTTGTCCTGCCTGCACATCAGGGATGTCACGCATCCCAGGCAGCGACGGCCAGGGGTTTGCAGGCAGGACCCCTTTTCCAGGGCTGACGCAGGCATTCGGGGGTGGGAGGAAGCATTGTTGGGGGACTACTTAAACCCAGGTTTGCAGCGAGAAGTCATCACTGGTGGTTTGAGGGGAAATAAAAAATAGATGCAAGTCGCAATCATGCCCAAGCGGTGATGGTAGGGGTGGCAGCTGATTTGCAGTGCCCCACCGGGCTGGATGCAGCTGGGCGACTCCCAGCCAGAGCTTCTCCTCCTACCCCCCCAAAGGCTTGGGGTGGGGATTCAGCCACATCCCACATGGGGTAAAACACCCCAGACCTGCATCCCCATCACTGCCTCCCTCCTCACTCTGCAGCTTGCACAGGGCGGAATGAATTATTGAAGCAGTAGTAGCACGCAGCAGCATCGCAAGGCTTTTTGCTGCTGAAAACTCTCCTGTCTTAACTGTATGTATCTTGCATCCTTATAGTTCGGGTGCCAGGGGTCCTAAAAAGAGCCGGAGGTAAGCAGGATCTCTCTGCTCATCCACCACTGCTCCTGTCCAAGGCAAGTCACTGTCAACAGACCAGACACTCTGTGGAAAGGGTGCAAGAGCGGGGGTATCCAAGCATTTCATTCTTCAAACTAAATCCTCTTGGTTAGCACCTGGAACTTGCACTTTTTAATTACTCTCTCAGGGAAGCTTTAGTCAAAAAAAAAAAAAAGAAGAAAGAAAGAAAGAAAGGAGACATCTCCTCTATATTAACTTGCTCTAAAGCTCCCTGGAGACACGGAGTGGCATTTTTCCTTAGCAGGTTTTAAAATAGGAGCTTCTGCAAAGAATTACAGACTTCAGCTCACGATTCAGCAAGCCCACCTCCTCCCCCCGACCCTTGCCAGCACCCCGCCGCAGCTCCCTTCGCTCGCAGCAAACCAAGTCTGCACCATCCCATCATTCCCATGTCCCTAATGTCCCCACTGGGACAGAGCTAACCACATTTGCCAGGTATTCCCAATTTCATGCTTGTTTTGGGTTCCCTTTTGGATCCAATGCCTTTGCAGGGCAAACTCAGTGTCTTTAAGCACACCTGTGGTCACTCTGGCACAGCAGGTGATGAAAAGATGGGTTAGAAATAGCAGGGCTGCCTGCACAGGGTGATGTCCTCAAGCAAGCTGGAGGTATGGAGAGGACTGCCACGTGCAAAGGCACTAAAAAGCCTGGATGATCCAGCCTTGCTCCAAAAAGACACGTGGCCGGCACCTTCCAGCAACACCAGGAGATAAGCAGTGGGGAAGGTGCACTGTTGGGTTTGAGGACGCCACGGGCCAGGAACAAAGGAGGAACTGTCGCTCATTGCACTTACAGCCCTCTGGAAAAGGATTCAAGGCCATTTCCCTCCTTTCTGCAAATGACAATTTTTCATTAAGAAAAAACACTGGCTCTTAAAACTGACACTTTCTGCAAGATGTTCACAATTTTTCGATGAAACCCAAAAAACCAGAGAGGAGATGCTTGCTAGAAACCCCTTGTATGTTTTGCAGACACCTTCGACACAAAATGTATTTAACTTTAAGAACGCTAAAAAAAGAAAAAAGGGAAAAAAAAGTGCCTATCCATTTTTCAGCCTTCAAATTGATTAGCCCCAGTTACGGGTATTTTAGTGGCAAGGCAGCTCTCCTTCCCGTCCTGCTGCCTCCACGTGCAGCGTGCTGCATGCAGGCTAGGAAGCCCTCCTAGATGCTTTCAGCTGAAAGACACCATCCAGGCAAATAAACACCCACATGAAATTGCTTGCTATAGAAAAATGACATTTAGAGGATGTTGCGATTACAGGGGCAGGCACTCCAGCAGCCGGCACAGCTTTCCGGGGCGACTGCCGGCTCAGCTCTTGCTCGCCCTCATGGGCAGGCAGCACTGGGGGGACCAGTG